AGCCCCAGATATAGCTGCATGCTGGCCATGTGTTTCTGAAATGGGAATCTATAGCCCTCTCCTTGCGCTCCCTCATCACCAGATCACTAGACATATAAAACGTGAAAATCAAGACATAATCTAGGAAAGAGTCTGTTGCAATATAGCAGACAGAAATACATCATATTTTTTGGCTTACAAACTTTTTTTTCCAAAGGGCAACATTTGGCCAATGAATAGAATGTTTTAAGACCCTCCCAGCCCCCAATTTATAATGAAAGCTTTTCCATGTTTGAGATGCTATATTTACTTAGTTCAAATATTTATGGGTGCAATGTATATACAGTATTGAACAAAACAGAAACCAGATTCATTCCTTAATGAGTGAGAAGGAATAGACTACATACAGAACTAAATATACCATAGTGTGAAGCAGGACCAGGGGGTGGGGAGGGGAAGAGGGCCTTAGCTAATACTTTGTTAAGCTTGCAGCCCTAAGAAAATGTTCAACTCTTTACAGCTACTGAACTAAAGAACAAAAAGAAAATAAATTGGTATTAGCTTTTGCTCATTATCAGATTTTTTTTTTTGGAAAAACAAAGGTTAGAGTGTGCAAAATGTCTTTGAATTTATTCAGCTGTTCTTGCAGTTTCATGTTTCACAAGTGGCTGCAACCCTGCCTGTGTTCCCATATGACTGGATTAAAGTTATCTGACAGGCTTGTTAAAGTTATCAGGCCAGACCAGCAATGCTTGTTCAACCTCACAGTCATCAACCGTCATTGACAATTTGCCCTATTCAAAATTATATCCCCCTTTTTTGAAACATGGGGCAAGCTCAGTTTAAAATCAGGATAATCTCAATTATATGCTAAAACCTGAAGGAAGATCATAATTTGCAGACTCCAACCATTCACAATGCTTTATTTGTTACCTTTGCATCTCCGAGTAATGCTGTAGTCTCAAAACAACCTGCATAGTACCTTCCTAGTGGCCACACAGGTTACAACACTATACAACACTTGCTGTAGAGTAGTGTTGCTCAACCTGTGGGTCCCCAGATGTTTTGGCCTTCAACTCCCAGAAATCCTAACAGCTGGTAAATTGGCTGGGATTCCTGGGAGTTTTAGGCCAAAACACCTGGGGACCCACAGGTTGAGAACCACTGCTGTAGATTGAGGACTTTGTTGCATAGACCCGTTATTCCACTATGATCATAGTATCTTGATAGTGAATATATACTCCGTTGAGCACCCTTGATATTTCACCATTCTTTAATAGTGTAATTGTGCAGATTTGCCAATTTATGGTCCCATGATCATACTTTAGCATATCTCTGTAACCTTGTCTTCTGCACTATTGCTGCCCCTTACTTTTTTGTTTTGTTTTTATTTTTAGCACAATTGAACAATTCCAGAATTTTAAAACAAAAAGGGGCTAATATAAATCTATCTATCTATGCTATAAAATGTATGTATGTTTGTATGTACGTGTGTATGTACGTGTGTATGTAGGTGAGTTTGTTTGCAGCTGATTTCTTATTGGCTTCCACTTCCAGACACAACTGTGACCACCGCCAACAGATCAGGACCAAGTTTGGCACACAGAACCCCCATGACAAACCAAAAGAACTGGAAGGGTTTTAGGGAAAATTGACCTTGATTTTGGGGAGTTGTTGTTCACCCACATTCAGAGAGCACTGAATCCAACCAACAATGGATCTGAACCTAAATTGGCACACAGACCCAACATGCCAACTTTGAATGCAGGGTTGAGTGGGTTGAGGGTGACTAACATGAATTTGGAATTTGTAGTTCACTTGCAATCAAAGAACACTGTGAACCCAACTGACAATGGATCTGGACCAAACTTGCCATGCATACCCAATGCGGCCAACTTTGAATACTGGTGGGGTTTGTGGGGAACTGACCTATGATGTTGAGAGTTGTAGTTCACCCACACCCTTATACATGCTCTAATGGATTCATTCTTAAAAAACAAAAGCAAAGATGAGTTTTTCTAACAAATAGGATTACGAATTATCTAACCCAGACATCGTCGCGTACCTATGCTAAGATAAAATAAAGGAAAACAGCCAGCTTGGAAGTATCAGTGACTAGAGGAGAAAAGGGGAGCAGATAATCCTCCTTGCTGATGTTGCTTTACTGACAGTATGCTAGCACAGAAACAAAAGGAATCCCATTGCATAAAGGTAGGTAATGAGAACATTGGAATTGGGAGCTGTAGACCAGTTTTACACGTCAATAATTAAGGATAGGAAAATACCAGGGAGGAGGCAGACTGACAGTGGGATTCAGCTGCAATGCTGGTTTGCCTGTCTTGTGTGTTAGTCCTGGGTTTCATTTAAAGAAATAACATTTACTTCCAGGTTGACATGCTCTGAACTGGACAGTTACTGACATTAAAAACTGAATTGTGATTTGGGCATGGGATTCCTGTATCTAGGAACCTCCAGAATGAAACAACATTCATTGCAGAATGCAACAAATTTCCAGTCATGGAGCAGAATATTAGAAAGAAACTGTAATTTCCAGTCATGGCCTGGGACATTAGAAAGAAAAATGGAAGAAATAGCAAAGGAGATGATGTTTTCATGGCCAGGTAAATTATATAGGAAAAAATCTCTCCCCTTCAACTCCACCCCAAGCACAACATCTGTTCCTGTTTCTAGACTATTCAGAATTCATAATAAATTCCAGCTGGCTTCAAGTAGAAAAATGAATATGTTAAAATTGCATTGCAAATAGTGTCTCTGCTGATCATCTCAACAGAAACTCCACAGAATAATGGTGAAGGGCAAGACTCAGCATAGCTGCTAGATTTTATCTTGGTGCTGTTGATAACTTTATATTTAGAAATACATTTGCCATCACAATCACAATTTGATAATTATATTGTGATCTGCATAGAAAGTATTTTTCCTTCCAGTGTGTATTTCAACCCACAACCTGAAGTATGAGAAAAAAAATCATCACAAAAGCAAAATAGGTGTTTTGCCACCCCATGCTTCTTCATATGTAGCTCATGAAAATAATTTCAGCAGATGAATTTCCTTCATGAGCATCATATAGCCAGTAGATCTCGGATCCACTGCCCAAACATGCCTAGGGTTGGCAAAACAATGTTCCAAGAGAAGTTGGCCTAAATCTAATTGTCAATTCTAATGAGAGTAGTCTCACTCAATCTATGGGGACCTGGTAAGGCTGGAATAGGAACATTGTGAAACACCATATGTTAGACTTCAACTAGCACTTTGCTCATGAACAAGTGAGGATAGTCATGTTATTTAAGTTGTTTTATTTTCAAAATATAAACATTTGTGTTGTACCCAAAGGGAGCTAAGGTGTTAAATAAAGGCTATGCTCTCACTTTCAACATTTCTTTTTCATTTTATTTTTTTATATTTTTAAAGTTATGTTCTTATAAACTGCTGACCTACTGTCTACACATTTCTCAACTGAACATTCTGTAAAGCACACATAAATAAATGTCTGTAACTGCATCCAAAGAAGGGACAAGTTATACCACAATGATCTGCCCATATGGATTATAAAGGTACATAAACCCAAGAAATAGGATGGATCATAATTTCTGTTCTCTTGTACAGGTGGCTACAAGACAGATAACATCATGAAGTAATAGCATTCTGTTATATACAGATATCCAACACATCCATATTTTAACTTGTCAAATGATGAAAACCAATTCATTGGTCTACTTTTTATGACAAAGTTTTATATGTGGTTAGGATCTAACTCCTAAAATTACCTGTACTATACAATATTTATTCATTTTTCCTGTACTTAAAAGAAACTTTTGTGTAGAACATATTGAAGAACATCTTTAACCTCCTGATTCACTTCAGAATGGCAAAAATGATATGGATAAAAGTAGGGTTAAAATAATCTGCATGTCATAAAAGGGCAATTAAAAGTTAGCTGCAATTTGCATTAGCATAACAATTTAAACATATTCTACAGAAACATTGTAAAGAAATTGCTAATAATGTTATTTAGGGGATTATAAAGAATGGAATCCTATACACACCCACTCAGAAGCAAGTGCCTGGTAAGTAAGAAAAGGAATGGCAGCCCAAATCTGTCAATTTTAACATAATATTATAAGAATCGTGATAAAAACAAATATCTCAGATCTCCTGCTGCTTTCTAGTTGGCTTAAATTGTGATACTCACTATAATTTCTCTTTTCACTTCCCATTCACTTAATACAACACTGTGACTTCTGTTGCAAATTCTTGGTTTAAGCTCCAAGGAAAAAATGCATTTTATTAAAAACGTATTCTCCTATCACTTTGTGGACCATTTTGAGTTAGGTAGCCCCTTAAGAATATCCAACTTTGAAGTTTTAATCTTTCTAAAAGTGTCCCTCCAAGTATATTAGTAATATCTGAGGAATGGAAATGTTATATAAAATATCAGCACACTGCCTCTGACATGCCATCTGCGTGAGCTACAGTCTCCTCAGTGAAACCTTTTTACACACTGAAATCATTATCTCTCTGAAGTCTGCAGCTGGCATTTAAAGCTTATTGATGGCATGGGTATCAGTGGCTCTGTAGGCAGCCCTCTTGCCTGAGGCTCCCAAGGTCACTGGTTCGTATTCTGCTTAGAGAAAAAGCTGGACCTATTCCAGGATTGTGTGTGGGCTGTGCTAGACTCCTAGAGGGCAGTCCTTTAGACAGTAAGTGAAACCAGGTCTGCTTTGTAGATATCAAAGCTCTCTTCCTAGTGTGGAGGAAGAAACGGGCAAGGAAGCTGCAGCCTACATGCCCAGAGCAAGAGAGAAAACATAATGGCCAGAGAAGAGAACTTGACTGTCATTCATGTTCAGGCCTCCATGAAAAATAATGCAATAATTAGGCATACAGGTACCTATTGAGAGACACCACTTACGGATAAACCTCTACATGGGGTAGGGCATTAGGCAAAATATTAGGAGATATAAATATACACACAAACATATATAATATTGGAATGTAACCTGCTCTGGTGTTAATGCTCTGATGCTTGGTTATCCCAGATGTCTCCCTCCTCCTCTTCCTCTTCGTTATAGACAAGTAAAGTTGGATCTCTTGAAGGAACTGGGGATCACACTCTAGGCGAAGGTTGGACAGGTGATCAATGTACAGCATGGGATTTTGCCGTGGCCATGTGCCTCCAACAGTGACTGGATCATCTAGTCAAAAGAAACAAAGCCAACATATAACATTTTGCTTGAGTGAAAACAAAAACAAAGAAAATGCTAAACACACCCTGCACATAACAGTAAAAAGTGGTTAATTCCAGCAACACTCACCACTCCACACAAAGTTATTTTTTTCAAAGTGTAGTATGCAGGCAACTTCTTAAAACCATTGTCTTTATGGAGCCCAAACTCATATGAGTTCCTTAAACAAAACTCTTCCTCATCAGAAAAAAGTAGTAATTTTGGTAGAAGGACTGGAGAAAACCAGTACCTGAATACTGGGATTAATTTGGGTCAGTACATTAATACCAAGGATAACATCATAGGATTGGGTTCCAAGAGTTAAGGAGGGTTAACATTCTGTCTCAAAATATTGTACTTATATTTCCCCCTTGTGGCTATTACTAGCTCCAAGCTGGAAACAGAGATGCATTTCTTTGCTAATGTCACTGTCAAAGAAAGCAATGACGACTGTTTGCTGTTTGGGACTTATTCCATGTAAAATTCAAATGTGGCATTTTTTGTTCCAAAAACAGTCTTTTCTCCTCATACAAATATCTCCTCATACAATATAGCAATTCTGGACAGAAATATTATTTTCCGTGTTTCTTGTCCAAAATTGCCGTTTTCTGCACAAAATGTGCAAATTTTGTACTGAGTAAGTCCAAACTGTAAATATTCTTGTCATCCCAGAAGTCTCCTCACTACTTACTTTCCTAATACTAAGGAAACATGTTTATTGCCCATTTAACAAACCTTTTTGAATATCCTCTCCATCATTAGTTAGAAAACATGTTTCCACCCAAATTCTTCTGCCACTCAGCTGCTATGCAGCTGCCATGCAACATTTAGCTTTTCATTTTCATCTCACTCTTCAAAATCAAATTTCTTCAGTGTGTACACAATTGCCAATAAAGAGTGTATCAACACCTGGCACAACATGCTTTCTTTCTTCAGTTTGCTGCTTGCATCTCCTTGCTGTGTGGAAGAATCAAACCCACTGGATCAGTTGAAGGATTTTTATTAAGCCACCTTCTCAAGCAGTGGCTTAAGTTTTTACTGAGCAGTATCTTTGATAAAGGGACAGGTTATTGAAAGACTAAAGACATCAGCTTCCAATCAGAACAAGCTATGCATTTCTGGGATAAATTCCCAAACAAATAACATCAGTACACATGTGGAAAGGATCACATTCCCACTCTACAAGACAGAATACTCAGTTATGAAATGTAAAAGTAGATTATCTATTATCCAAAATGGTTAGGACAAGATTCCCCCCCCCCCCAATTTTGCAGTATTTGCATTTGCATGAGCATCATGCGATATATTGGAGATACGGCTCATGGCTAAACATGAAAATCATTTATGCTTGAAATGTACCTTATTCACAGTCCAGAGGTAATTTAATATAATAATCTTTATAATTTTGTGCATGAAAAAACGTTTGTGTACATTGAACCATCAGAAAAACCAAACATGTTACTACCTTAGCCAGCCATATGAACAATTATTTTGGATTGCCGAATTCTGAATAAGAGATGCTTAACCTGTATGGATCCCTATTTAATCATATTTGAAGCAGACCCATTGAGATCATAGCTGATGTAAGGCCTCCACTTAAGCATCATACTAAACATGACTTATAGCTTTTACACTGACCATATAATGCAGTTTGAAGCTAGCTTTAAACTGTGGTGGCTAGAAATATACTCTGCCAAAGCATACTGTGGGTTAAGGGAAATAAAAAGTATCAAGCAAGGTTGGTGGAAAGTCCAAGATAAGCTCCTTAATTCACAGCAGTGAGCCCCAAATCGGTTCCACAGAATACAAAGCACATTGTAGACATCTGCCTGCACTGAAGTACTTTGTAAAATTCAGAACACAGGGCTGGGAGGGCTGCTGGAAAAGGCCACAAAAACATAGCTGGGCAGCAGGGAGCCAACTGACAGGTAATTGATCACCTCCACTGTTCACTGTCACTTTTTCTTCTGGTTTCCACCTCATATGCCTCTAGAACCCTGGTGTTTTTTTCACTCAGAAATTGGGGGTGGGTGGGGAGAGAGCCCACAGTCTCCAGTGACTGTCAAGGCTCTGTTGCATGATTATTGTGGATTTTGGAAATCCACCTTCCATGGTTAATATAATAATCTTCCTGGACTTGAATGTAAACATGCACAGAACAAAACTGGTTTCTGCCAAACTGACATAAGCATTCAGTGTAGATGAGCCCCCAGCTCATCTTATGATGAGAAACATACATAGATACCTGAATTATCTAGGAGCCCCCAGTGGCACAGTAGGTTAAACCCTTATGCCGGCAAGACTGAAGACTGACAGGTTGCAGGTTCAAATCCAGGGAGAGTGTGGATGAGCTCCCTCTGTCAGCTCCAACTGACATGAGAGAAGCCTCCCACAAGGATGGTAAAACATCAAAACATCCAGGTGTACCCTGGGCATGGGCAACATCCTTGCAGATGGCCAATTCTCTCACACCAGAAGTGACTTGCCATTTCCCAAGTCACTCCTGACATGAAAAAAAACAAAACAAAAACAAACCGAATTTTCTTTTCTTTTCTTTTCTTTACAATAAAGAGCAATTTGCCCAGGGTTAATAGCAAATCCACCTCCAATGTTTCTTGATTCTACACAAGAAAAAGGTTGGCAGAAACTGGTTTCTGCCAAACTCACCTAAGCATTCAGTGTAGATGAAACCCAAGCTCATCTTATGATGAGGAACATACAAAGATACCTGAATTATCTTTTTGTATCGTAAAGAGCAATTTGCCCAGAGTTAATAGCAAATCCACCTCCAATGTTTCTTGATTCTACACACAATGACAGACAACACCATGCCTTGGCTCACATAGAATCAAAAGTATGTTAATAATTGACTGAAATATATTCAGACTAAAATTCAAAATGTAACAATGATTTCCCCCTAGAGATGATAGATAGGTGATAGATGATGGAAAGATAAATAGATGGAGCTGTTGTTGCACACCTTCAAGTCATTACTAGCTTACAGTACCCCTAAATTGAACCTATCACAGAGGTTTCTCCACAAAGTTTGTCAGAGATGTTGATTTCTTTACCTTCATCTGAGACTGAGAGAGTGTGACTTGCTCAAGGTCACCCAGTGGGTTTCCATGGATAAGTGGGGATTTCAACCCTGGTCTCTATCGTTTTTAGACTGTAAAATAGCCATTTGATATACTGACTATGCTCTTTTTTAAAAAAAACAGATGACATTGCAGGGGTTTGAAGCAAAACAGAAATTCTCACAGTAAAGCAAATGCACTTAACTACATAACAAGAACACGTTTCATAAGAGGAACATGTCCTCTTAACCTGTGACAACACACTTGTTTATTTAGTTTTCTTCTTAGTAAGAAAGCAATTGATTCTTCTCCCAATAAAAATATCCTTATGCATTTATAAACACTACTGGTAATTATGTAATTACCTTACCCAATCATGTTAAATTGCTGTCAGTTAAGTTCCCACCACTGATTACTTATGGACTATACTAAAGCTAAATGAAGTCTTTGGTAAAGTGCACTTAGTGAATTACAAAGGTGTCTCTATGATTCTAAACACCAGATCCGGACTATATTTGCTATAATAACCCAATGTCCAAGGTCAAGGACAGATCTCACTGAATGTTTTGTATGAAATCTAAAGAAAGACAGAATTAAATACATGGTGTTCTTTGTCATGACTTCTTCATCTAACAGCAACCTTTCACCTCCACATGCTTAAAAACACTATAATTACATAATTAAAAGTAATTATGTAATTTAACCTACAGGGGTTTATCCTACATGCTCTAGTTCAATTATTTTCATAATATATTATTATATATTATTACATTATATTCATAATCAAAAATAAAACAAGATTAAAATTAAGGATCAGGAAAACTTTAAAATATTTAAATGACTGCTGTAGAGAGGCCATGGACCAGTAATTGAATGTAAAATAAATCCAGTGATGACAATCTCCTTAGAAAGTCATGAAATATTTTCAGCTTTAATGACAGGAAATATTACTTTTTGGAAATATTTGTGCATAGTAAGATGTCACTACCCAAATCAGCTTTCATTACCTCCCTTCCCATACATATTTCCAATCTCCTCGCCTCTGAAAAGAATATTATAATGGAAAATTTCACAGGAACTGGAAAACTGCCAATAATGTAATAATAAGGATGTCATTGTTATAAGAAAATGTGCTTTTTCTGCTCAATGTCATGGAATAATCAGTCCATAAAGCAAGCAATAAGTTACTTCAACTGTATCCAGCAACTGTAGGCTGGTGTGACAGATTCCTGTTGCAGTTGGCACTGATACGCCCACATGGATTGATGCACAGAACCATAGAGCCGGAAGAACATTAAGGGTCATCTCATTCAACAGTTTTCCAATGCAGAACATCCAATTCTGCAGCTCCCAGTTTATCAATCTTTTAGCCTCTGTTTAAAAAACTTTGAAGCAGATCTTTCCAAAGCAAACAACTTTTTCACCATTCCATCAAGAAGCTTTTCTTAAGTTTTAGCCCAAATAATTTTCCTGTCAGTTTGGATCCCTTGTCTCAGAACTTACTCTTTAGTTATTGAACAAAATACAGATAGAATAGCAAAGGAAAAGAAAAGCAATAGTCAGCTGTCTATATCCATGGCTTCTGTGCCCATAAATTCTATATTCATGAAAGGAGCCCCCTATATTCGGTGGCGCAGTGGGTTAAACCCCTGTGCCGGCAGGACTGAAGACTGACAGGTTGCAGGTTCGAATCCGGGGAGAGGCGGATGAGCTCCCTTTATCAGCTCCAGCTCCACATGCGGGGACATGAGAGAAGCCTCCCACAAGGATGATAAAAACATCAAATCATCCAGGCGTCCCCTGGGCAACGTCCTTGCAGACGTCCAATTCTCTCACACCAGGAGTCACTCCTGACACGACAAAAAAAAAACCATCCACAGTGATGTTGCCATT